GCCTCTGTCTCTTATACACATCTAGATGTGTATAAGAGACAGGTAGATACTCGAGTATCTACCCGAGAGTAGGTTGAGTAGGTACTCTACTGAACACACCCTTGAATTATTTTTCCGTTTTTTTTCCTGAATACAGATGTTGGGTGTGTGTGATGACGTCACTGGTTTTGTAGAGAGACGCGGCAGAGATGGCGCGGATAACCCGGGTACCTTAATTGTGTACCTGCATCGTGGAAGACCCCTTCAATGTGGAACGATTCCTAGTCAGTGTCGATGTTTACACTACTGTGCCTAACACAGATGATCTGGATAGATTCGGGTGATTGTCAATTGCNTACAGATGTTGGGTGTGTGTGATGACGTCACTGGTTTTGTAGAGAGACGCGGCAGAAATGACGCGGATAACCCCTTCAATGTGGAACGATTCCTAGTCAGTGTCGATGTTTACACTGCTGTGCTTAACACAGATGATCTGGATGGATTCGGGTGATTGTCAATTGCAATGATGGCTTTGGTTGGGCGTCCTTCATCATTGTTTATGTCCACGGGCTCATTCTGACAGCACTTCAGACAGCAGCTCCATGCCNAATGACGCGGATAACCCCTTCAATGTGGAACGATTCCTAGTCAGTGTCGATGTTTACACTGCTGTGCTTAACACAGATGATCTGGATGGATTCGGGTGATTGTCAATTGCAATGATGGCTTTGGTTGGGCGTCCTTCATCATTGTTTATGTCCACGGGCTCATTCTGACAGCACTTCAGACAGCAGCTCCATGCCCCGAGCTTGTGTACCATGCACCATGGTATTTTTGTAGAGACAGCACTTCAGACAGCAGTACGCTGTAGTCGACAAACATTCATTTTGGTTAAATGCGGGACAAGGGGGAAGATGCTGCTGCTAGGTAGTCGATTTGTAATGTGTGGGCGTGTAGTTCAGTTGTGAGCACGCAAACGCGCTGCAGGGATTGCAGGTGTACCTCCTCGGGCTTGTGTACCCTTTCCTTGCTAACACGTGTGTGTGTTCTTTAGATCTTTTGGTGGCTCTACAGTAGCATTTTTGTGACCACGGACCGAGTCTTCGCTAGATATTGGGATTAGCAACTGACACGAGTTTAATGCGAAGAAGAACAACAAGAAACAACAACATGCACAAGAGACCGTCAGTCAGCCCCTGCAAAATAACGTACTTGCAAAACCTGTATACCAGTACATGTGTCAACAATAACATGGTATGCGTGACTCCTGGAGGTCGCGAGCGGGAAGTCTTTGCTTTCGAGGGGGGGGACCGAAAGGCCAAGAATGTAACCCGTTTTGTCTGTAATTAGGGAGGCTCACACACACAGGGTCCCAAATCATGGCAAATAAAAGTGTTTTGTGTTTTCAACCACACTGAGACTGACGTCTTTTCGTTGGCCAGCCGGTTAGCGCGGTCGATGCTAATAACAAACACACACACACACACACAACGTGAACCTTCATGTACCTGGGGGCAATTTGAGTACTGCTTTCACAGAGTGAACTATTTAAGTTAGTCGTTTCCACGGGCGATGGTGTTTAGGAGCTAAAGAGGCCGGAGCGGAGCTGCTCATGTGTATTATTGCGTGCAAGATGTGCCTTTTTATTCTTTTGCGGCTGCTGCTGCTACAACTTCGACAGGCTGCCTGCTGACTTCGTGGCACAACGTTGCCCGTTGTCTGGAGAGTGGAAATATTTACAGCAGCAGCAGTGTGGTGTAAGGGTCTTGCTCTCCTCATCTCTCCTCTACAACTGTAAGAATCCTGGACACGCGACAAAAAAAAAACTGATGGTCTCTCGATCAAGTCTCATTTGTATTCGGATCCCTCGTTCGCTTCGACGACATATCTATGCATCCACATATCTTTGCTGCACACCAGAACACCTAGAATGCCTACAGGCGAGCACAGCACCGGTGGCGGAATCGCATCAAGCTGGCCAGCAGCAGGCGCTGTGTTCAAAAGCGGCAACGGACAGCATCAGACGAGCCCCGATTTCTCACTCGATATGTACGCATAACCGTGCCAAAAACAGCCGCTGAACAAACGACACAAACACACACATGTAGGCGGAGGAGCTTCCGAGAATTTGTTGCCTCGCCCATGGCCGACTCTCAAGCTCGTACGCCGTTCCCTATCCCTGGCAGCCAAGCAATCCAAACCTCCTGTGCAGCGCGCAGCAGCTAGCTGCTGCTGTGTGCACCAACAAGATGACGACGTGCATGTGTGGGTGCACGGGTTGCTCTCAAAACTGCTGGAAAAACAAGTGCCTTCGCGGCGGTGGTTGGTTGGCTGTGATCGGCATTTTATTATTGAAAGAGGAAACGAATTCACCGAGCTCCTCCACCGATTTTTCTTGTTGTCCAAG